CTAGCACCATAATGTCTCTCATTGACTGGTCACCAGTCTGGGATATAGTGGTGAGGCTCCAGTCCAAAAAGTCTCCGAGGCGCTTCTGTTTCACATCAGGGCGTGTCATGAACCTGTACAGTCATGCACAATAAAACAATAAAACAATAAAATGCTTCATGTGGATAAACAAATGCAGACACCAGTAAAGACATTTCAAGAACAACCATGCCCCCTACTGGCTGGAAAACTAATTACAGTTACTAACTTCAACCACATTGTATTTTGTGTTTCTGTAATGTTCCATTCAACCATCATATTATGATCAGCACAGGCATAAAAGTGTGTACTTTGTCCTCAACTGCCCTCAGGTAGTTGTCAGTGAGTCAATAGGATTAACAAAAGAAAACCTATAATGATAATCCACAAACTGAAATTAAAGTGAAGTAAGGATGTCCCGAGACAATCCAAGACCAATAAATACAGGAATTTTGATTAAGATATCAGCTATAAATTAAGGTGTGCTTTCCTGGAACTGCAATGACAGCTGTCAAAAATTCCCCACTACGCTATGTTAATAAACTGCCCACATGATGAAGTGAGTGAGTGACCTGCTGAGCCACAAAATATATTAAAATAGAAATCAGTTTTATTTAATTATTTAATATATAATTATATCAATGTGACCAGAGAGGTCGTTTTATGCCTATTTCAGTGACATTTAGCAGGTGAACCACATCTCTACAGTACTACTGTTGGTAGAAACTACAGTATTTTGTTCATGCTGAGACTGTTAATGGTACAAAACATTATGGTACGCTGAATTTTCTTAATATCTAAATTGCTTCACTAATTTAAATGCAAGCCTAAAATGTGCACTGTAGGTTGTATAATGAAGGAAAAATGGTCAAAAACAGAATTTAAATAAAAAATGGATCATAAATCCTGGTCGGGACATCCGTAACGGAAAGTGTCATACTGATAATAGCTGCACTTCAGTACAGAAATGACAGAGACTGTTTAATGTGGAGGCATCAGAGAGACGGGGGCACTAATCAGTCACCTGGATAATGTTAGAATCATACAGGGATATTAATAACCACATCATGTTTCATATCATATTCTGAATATGATTAAAAGGATAAGCAGTGGTGGAAAGTAGTGATGTGTCCGTCCGTATCGAGGCTTCGAAGCGTGTGTCGAGTAATGCAGGATAACTTTTGTGAAGCGCGTATCGAGGCTTGTGTTGATGACGTATGTAGTGACGTTCGAAGCCTCGCGAGCCGGCTGTACGTGACCGATTCAGGAAATGGTTTGCGGGTTTGGCGTGCAATTCAATAGGAGCAGCAAAAAGCAATGGACCCTCCTCAACATTTTGTGGACTTTTGAACTTGGAATTTAACACAATTAGATTTTATTCACAGCTCATTTTAAATGACTAAAAAAGTTTATCAACTTATGTCAGAATTGCTTTGATCAAATAGCTTAAAAAATTGTGATGAAACAGAGGAAAAGAATGTGTTCTTTATTTTTTTTTACATTTTGTGGCTTTGTTAAGAATTAAACTCTTACCCCATATTACCGTAATAATAATTTCATAAAGCAGGTAAAATCATCTCCAAAAAAGAAACCGCCTGAAGCCCAGCACTGTGGAAGTGTTATTTTTAAATAAATATGAATAAAATGTCTCTATTATCTGAAGTCACAAACCAAGTTATCATAACCCTCTCCCTTGTTTCCACTTTCCTTTTGACCTTGTCATTTTATCATAAAGACAGAAACCTTATATAAAGCTAATCAGTCATGTATTGGCATCACAAACATCATTCATTTATTTTTTCAATTCAAAACTTCACACACCAAAGCCATGTTGCCGTTATAATCACTCTGCCTGTTTTACATTTATTGTCCACTTGATGGCACAGTAGAGCAAATGAAGCACAGTGAAGCTTCGGCACCATGACTGAACCAATTGGATGGAAAGCTTCAATGCTTCATGAAGCTTCATCTCGCGATCACTAGTGGAAAGTAGCTAAGTACATTTACTCAAGTATTGAACTTAAGTAGAATTTTGAGGTACTTCCATTTTCTGATACTTCTACTCTACTACACTTCAGAGGCAAATGTTGGACTATTTACCTTTCCCATTTTACTTTTTCTCCACTACATTTATTTTATAACTTTAGTTACCAAAAAATTAGATACTAGTTACAGATTTATATTAGTAATAAAACAATTATCAACAAATACAATGACATGTTATTATTGGTTAAGATAAGATGGGGTTTACAAGCTAGTATGCTATGCTATGCACACATCAATAATGAGAATATAATATATATTAAAAAAAGAAGTATAAATCCTTGGCTGGTTCTGATTATTATCCCCTAGCACTTTTCTGAATATGTTGTGTTTTGTCTGCTTAATGAATAAAGCTTAAAATTAAAAAAAGAACAGTTCCTATCTTAAGCGCAAGGGTCATTTAAAGCACAAATTTATCTCTAATTTCCTAATTTCTAGGAGTAATGCACACCCTATGTCCATCATCAAGTGTAAGACATTAGTTGTCACAGAGTTTTCGGTAGTGCTGATTTGATCAAAAGAATAACTTAATTTGTTCTCATTACTATTCATACGTCCTTACTAGTCTATCAACATCCAGCAGCCCACTGCTCTGGGTTAGACTTTGAGATTTTTGTGGCTACGAGGGTATATTTATGTTTTATTATGTATGGCATTTGAGTAAAATGTTAATTAATAACATTGAATCTGCCAGATGATTGTAAGTATTTACTTACTTTGATACCAGTACAGTTGCAGCATCCCTGGGAGTATCACTAACGAGTAGGTAAGACTGGAAAGAAAGAAAAAAATGTTATTCATGCTGTATGATAACATGACTGTAAATACTGTACATCATAACATTCTTAAACAGTTTCTCTATGGTTACATCAGTTTGGATAGAGACATATTGATGATTTGCTTGTTTTGTTTTAGTTTAAATGTTTGGCAGTAATAATGGATTTATTACCGACTCAAAAAAACCCAGCAGAGGATGATTTATTATTAGATACTCTGTTCCATAAATGTCACAGAATAACTGCTGCAAAATTTCTAGACAGTTTATTCAGATATTTTGGGGATCCACATATCCTGATAACAGAGCAAAGCCATTATGGGGAGCAAGACCTAGACATATAGATCCACTTCCCTAACCTTCCTTAACTTGCCTTTGCAATAGCTAGAATACGGTCCATGGTGGACTCTCTGGCCTTGCCACCGTCTGACTCCAGATGGCCATCCAGACGATAAAGGTCAAAGGGAATGAGGCAGGTCATGGACAGCCACAACAACAACATGTAGCGAGTTTCCCAAGTCTGGAATAAGTAGATGGCAAAACAAACTATTGTTAAACATCTGATAAAGCTAACAACCAAAGGTAATTGCAAATGCACAGAGGTGTAATTGTGAAGACCTGGATTATAGTTTTTTTCCCCTTGAAAAGTAATACCAGTCTCACCTCAGAGTCTTTGGGATCCTGCCTGGACAGCAGGTCTAGAACTGGCTGGACATCTGCAACCTCATGGGGAAGAAGTTGCATGAAAATTTTATAGCCCCTGACCTGCCCGGGAAAAAAACAAATCAATACCTGGGGACTGTCTCACATATCAGGATTTCTGAATTGAACTGGATAACTGTCCTGCGTCAGTAAAATGACCTTTCCAGTGTTCACTCGGTGTAGTGAAGTCTGGTGAGCGGTGATTTGGACTGACCTTACAGATGATGTAGAGAAACTTGAAGCTCAAATGAACCAATGAAGGGGGAGACTTCTCACTCCTTACAAACTCCAGCATCATGTTCAACATCCATTCTAAGACAAAATGGAAGAGAGAGAGTATATTTTAATCATATATACCATTCTCCAAATGAATCCACAGTACTGACAGAATATGAATTTAGAGATTTACTTTATCATAATGTACCTAAGTGCGGGTCCAGCAAATGAGGCTGCTCTTGATATCTGTTCATTATCACTGTGGGAAAAAAATTAGCAGAATGTGATGACAAGCTCAAAAAACTGATTTAAAAATGCTCATTTAAGGATTCATGTACTCTGTGGATGACTGTCTCACCCAAGAACTTCTGCGTGGTGGCCTCGCTTGTCACCATGTCCCCGTGGACCTCAGGCAGGCTGGAGATGAGAGCTCTGGTCTCACCACTCTCACTGAAGCCCCCCAACACGAACGTTGTTACAATAGCGTCCGACTCTCCTCCTTCACCACCGCAACCCCCATTCTCTGTCTCCGATAAGGCCATTTGTGCCGGAGTTTTACCCACAACGAGTCTCTTTGTCGCAGAGTCTAACTTTAGCGTTTGTTGTTCTAAGTTATGTGCCAGTTAGCTAGCTATTGTTAGCATGTAACGTTATTCCTAGCGAAAACCACCGGGGTGTGGGTGAAAATGAACGACGAAATGTATAAAACGTATAGCATTAAAGTGGAAATTTTCTGCAAGGGAAGTGAAATTAATATCAATAAAGAAAACCGTAACACTAATGCTCACAGCATCACTGATATGATGCTCCTTCTATCTACGTAGCTGTTGTGTTCGCGCCCCGCCCCGGTACTGTAGCCGAGGAGGTTCATACGTAACGCAGCCTTATGTTTCTGAGAATGTGCTTAGCAAAATATGAACTATAAAGAATTACTGCAATGGACACAGTAAGTAACCACATCATTATTTATGAATGAATCAATATTATAATTTTTTATTATGTTATTTAAGTCCGATTAAATCAATATTACCTCTTAATGTAGTATAAACATAATCACACACATAAGCAAAGGAGCAATTAAAAATAATGTAAGATGACTACATTTTATGTAGACTGTGTTACGAAGTTACATGAGCACTAGGTGGCCAGTTTTGGTGAGTTCTTTATGATGATGTAGGTCTTGCAGTCTGATTCACTACTGTTGATACCAAACATATAATAAAGACAGCAGGTCAGGACAAACACATTGCATCATCCCAGGATTTATTGTTGGTTAAGACTGCAAATATTTCAAGGATATATTACAATGGAGCAACAGTTTGTAGGTGTATGAAGTGTCAGTCTGCACAACATCAACACTTAGGATATTATGGTTTATATAAGTATACAGCATTGCATTCACTGGGAAAATCAGACGTCCTTTGCACAGTAGTATAATTCAGTTGAGTGTTGGATGAATGCAGGCAATGAAAAAGAATCAAAAATTAAGAAAGGGTTTGCAGCACAGAAAAACTTGCACCAAGCTTCAGACCAACTTAAAACTTCTTTGTATTCTTCTAACTGACAAGCAAGCTTGATGAAGAATACCAAAAACGTGTTGCTTGCTCTTCCACTTGCAGAAAATGTTCAAATAAAGACCAAGAAGTTTAAACCTGGATCAGAGCTAAGTTTTTTTTAAACAGTATTTCATGTTAAGGTTTATGTTTGCTACACGTGAGTCTGGAGAAAATACAGAATGTAAAAGCACTAACAAAGTATATATATCCTTGTTCAAACACACAATTTAAGATAATACCTGAAATATATGGATTCTGTTTTTCACCTTTTGGAAGCAGGTTGGTATAGGTGGAGCAGGCATGACTGAATTATTTTGTTATGTTGGTTCTGTATTTTCTACAAAATGAAACACACAGTACGATGTTAGAATGTCATGTTTAGTCTTCAATAACTCAGCACACTATTTTTGGTTAAATTAGCATCTGTCAATTTATACATAATACTTGACTTGAGTTTAAGACTGTGGAGCTTTCTACAAGTGAATTTGAGTGCAATTATTTCAGAAGGTTCTTCATAATCCTTATTGAAGAGCCCCTGTAGCCACCACCAAAGTGGTTCCAGTGATTCAGATAGTGGAAGAGTTGGTAAAGCTGGTTTCTCTTTGCAAAGCCTGGTGCTTGAGGAATTTTTTCATGGTAAGCAGAGTAAAAAGAGCTGTTGAAGCCTCCGAACATTCCTGCAATGCCCAGCTCAAACTCTGAATGGCCATAGAAGGAAGCTGGGTCAAAGATGACTGGGCCTTCTTCACACTCTGACACATTTCCTCCCCATAAGTCCCCATGGAGGAGAGCAGGGGAAATCTCCAAATCTTTGAAAAACTGTGGGATCTTCAGCTGTAAATAACAGACACTATATGTAAGTTCCACTGTCAGATGAATGATATAATCATAAGGATGTCATTTTTTGTTTCTGATGGGATCAAATGGAGGGTGCACCTGTAGCTCGGCCCATGCTTCTCTGGCTTCCCTGTCCCCATACGATTTCTCCACCAAGTTAAGCTGATGCTGCAGCCTCTGCTGCGAGTAAAATTTCACCCAGTCATCCTGCCACTCATTTTGCTGGGGAGGTAAGGGAAAACATGAAAGCTATGTGATATTACTAAGGAAGACTCTAACATATCAAAGACATACCTACTATATTTTAGAGACTACAATACAGTCCAGTTTTGCCTAGTATACAGATAAAATAATTTTTTTTTACCTGTGGAATGTATCCACAGCATGTAGTTACACTGAAGCCAAATTTTTGAACACCAGCCACCTCTGACTGCCCAGCTCCTTTTCCTGTGAAATGTAATATAGCTTACATAGTAAATCTTTAATTCACTGACACTTCAAACTCCTATTCAGTATAGTGTTGCAAAAGGATGAAATGCTGTGTGATATACTTAAATGAGGTGAATTACCCACTGTCTGCTGCTCTTTATTTAATTTGTCCAACTGTCTCTTGTTGTGTAGATGCAGAGCTGCCAGCTGCTCTCCTAGGCACTTTGAGTACCTACATTTTGGATTTGGAAATAAAGTATTTCATTGAACAAAGAAACTATATAAACTCTATTTTCACTATTATCTTTTCACATTGCCCTTACTATAACTGCATAAAGCGGTAGTGATACTGTACAAACTAAACTGTTTGTATGACTGGGCTCTTACTTGCTAAGACCTCTCATGTCCAGATGTTCCATCACAAAAACACATCCTCCTCTGTCAAGCTCAATGACCTTCACAGGCTTGGGGACTTTAACCGTTTCTGTCTTAAAAATGGCTTCCAAACTGGCATGCTCCCCATCAAACATCAATTTGGCCTGAATAAATACAAAGACAATAAATAGTGAGCCGATGAGCAGTGCATTTACACGAAATAAACAATTACACTGTTCTCCATTTGGCAATGTTCAAAGTTCAGTGGCAGTATCTGGCAGGGTGTAAGTTAGCTAAGTTAGCTTTTGGATCAAATCCACACTGATGTGCTTTTGACTAATACCTCAGATGGTAAGCCAGACACCAACATGTCACTATAGTGAATTAAAGGATAAAACAATGACGACAGAATACCTGGCTCTTGTGATTTATCTTCACAAACACTCTCCCAGTGTCAGTATCATAACTCTGGCCCTCGCTGATACATCCACCTCCTGAGTGACCGGTTGGCCTCAGCATGGCTGTCCCCAACTCTTTCTTTAACTTGGCCTCCATAGTTATTTCCCAAAACCAATTCTATTAGAATTAACGTTACAGTGGTACTAACACCAAAGACGCAGTTCAGCTGCTGGCTGAAGTTTAGGGGGCGTTTCTGACTGTTTCCGCAGTGTGCACCAAAGAGATCTCGGAGATGGCGACGTTGTTTTGTTTCCGTTGTTTTGATATGGGTAAAATAGTAACCAATCAGAAACAAGACTAAAATGATTGATTTAGACTTCGTCCAATCACAGCACCGTATTACGGTCATGTGAGCGTCGCCATGGTGCCAAATAACTACATTGGCTACATGCTACATTCTGGCTTCGCTATGCTTCTGCTGGAAAACCGAAATGAGCAGAAATGACATTTGTCTGCTTCTAGGGGCGACTGGCGTCGGAAAAACGTTGTTGCTGAAACGTCTACAAAATATCCTTTTTGCGCAGCTACGTGTTTTAAACTAGAAGTATACAGTACTGTAAATGTAAAGTGTTGTGTAACGTTATCTTAACCAACATAGCTTATTTAGCGTGGTGAGCTAATGCACTGTAAAGGTATGGCCTCCATACCGATACTGGTCGGTACCTTAATTTAATTTTGCACCATATTTGTGGACATGCATATAGTCACAATATCCTGTGGAGATTTATCTTGACAGATTTTGCTTACAGCTCAGTTTGCAGGGGTTAGGTGAACTGGAGTCACCACCTTCAACTTTGCCTACAGTAAGCAATAATGAAAGGTAGTTTTATAAAGTTTGCAGGGACAGCCCATCCCTGTAATGCCTCCCAATCTCTTTAAACCTCCACAGGTAGGAACCAACCTTACAGACCTGACACTGAAGAAGAAGAAGAAGGTGACATTAAGAGAGCTGGGAGGCTGCATGGGCCCTATATGGCCGAGTTACTTCAAAGACTGCTCTTCTGTTATTGTATGTACTTTGTATACATACTGCAACTATTTGCAACCTTTGAGTTGAGGTAAATAAACTGACTGGATGTTTTTTTTTTCATAGTTCATGGTGGACTCAGCCAACATTGTTCAGATATCCTCTTCTTGTATCCAGCTGCTGTCAGTACTGTCTGCTGAGCCTCTGCGCAGTGCCTCTGTGCTTATTCTCTTCAACAAAAGGTGACATTTTAAGTGTAAACACCAAATCCCTTTTTTCACTGTCCATATCTGCAAGATGTCAGTGTTAGCAGGTTTAACACAATGTTTTTTTTTAATATCATAATACTCTCTCTGTGAAAGTCGTTAATTGGATTGCATATATTCTTTTTTTTTTCTTTCCACTGTTTCCCAGGGACTTGCCTTGCACTATGAGTCTTATCGAGATAAAATCACTGTTCAGGATGGATGACATTATTGCATCTGCTACTCAGCCAATCACAACACTGGAACTCAGTGCCCGCTCCGGACAGGGTCTTCAGGAGGTGCTGAGCTGGCTGGAGTCTATCATAATCAAGTGAACTATCACACGTTTGCTCCTTATGAAGTGATGCTACTCTCACAGGACTTTGAATGATGGCTTCAAGCATTTTAGCAAGAGGTGTCAGTATCCTTGGTGTGCAAAACCCCCATTTTTAAGAGGATTTAATTATTTGTTAAGTTTTGGACTCACTGAAAAAGTGGCAAGACATATGACAAGAAAAACTGTTAATGTTGTATCTTTGGTACCATATAAATATGGTGACTGTTCACAAGGGTGAAAGTGGGAAGAGATGTAGAAATTAAATCATAGCAGGATGGAACGATTGTATGGTTGGCCATTTGGTAAATCAACTGTAGGTCTTACCTGCAGTTAATAGTTATTTATAATCACTTTTACTAATTAAATTCCAGACAGATAAACAGTGATTCATGACTGATCGTAGTGTGATCACAGGACTTGCAAGTTCTCCTAAATTGGGGGAAACCTCATGCTACAATGTAATGACTAGTTTTATACTGATATAAAATAAGCTCTTGCATAGTTTTAATTACTAGTTAAGTGTGAGAAACACATGTTATAAGAGCTTGGCTTGTCAGAGTAATTGAAGTATCTGCAGCATAATAGTAATATGTAATAGTAGTAATAGTCATTAACAGCAGGGAGCATAAAAGGCACAACAAATATTGTAGCTGTGCTTGAGTTGTGATGGTTTCATTTTAAATGTGTTGATATCAGAGGAAATGAGAAAAATACAAAACAATACAACCAACTGAAGAATGAAGCAGCATTGTAATTATACCCTTATATTTGATGAGTCTGTGGTTCACAAGCAATGAATAAAACTCAGGATTCATACATTTTCTAATGTCGCCTTGTGTATAATAAATTCAGACGCACTTACAGTCCTCCCCAACTTTAACTTCATTCAGTTAACCCCAGCAATTAATTTGACTATTTTGAAATCACGTATACACCAATGCTTCTCTTCAGTTCTGGTCCAACAGAAACCTCACTAAGTTATCCATGTTGCATGATGCAGCAACATTTCAAGAACTGGACATGTCCCCAACTGTAGCCTCTTATCGGAAATCAGTTTTTCTCTGAAGCAGTATATGACAGCAGCAGTGGCCAGCTAAGCCAATCACACAAACAGTTGAGAGTGCAGAAGACTTATTGACTACTTGAAAAGCTTGTAATACATTTGCCTTGTTATGGCTAAGTGAAGTAACAACAAAATATTATCAAACTGTGCTTCTGTGTACATTTGCATCTGAAGTCTATTCGCAATAGGCTATGGTTGAAAGAAGTTTTACATGACACTACTGTAATAGTCTCTGTTATAAAGGTGTTATCTGTTTTGTGCCCTGTTTCTGCATTACTGACAAGAACAGCAGGACAGACTATTGCAGTGAAAAGCAGAACCAGCTTGCATCAATCTAAGGATTACTGTATTATACCACAATATAAAAACAGCTAAGAATAGGGTTTTCTTCCTTGTCCTTGGGCCTGCGGTTTATGCCAGTTATATTTCAAGAGCATAACCTAATGGCATTCCCCTTATTCTCCAATTTAGTTGGTCCTCATAAGAAAGGGTTCTGACTGCTCTCTGCAGCTTGTGACCCATCTGTGCTGGTTGAAGAAAAGGGCAACAATGGCTCAGGGAGGTTCCCTGGCAGGCCCAGACCCGGCTGGGTGGGGTGAGTAAGTGATGAAGGGAGGCTGGCAGGCTGGTGGCTCATAGGCAGGGGCAAGGAGGCACTGTATGGAAGAGTGGTAGCGTGGGGAGCCAAAGAGGTGGAGCCCATTTGATTCAAAGTTAGTTTGGGCTGCTCAGCTTGGAATGGATTGGTGGGTGAAGGAGCACTCAGGCCTAGACAGAAAGAAAGAACAAGTTATTTCAATTAAATTGATAATTTCTGAGACTGGATTTAGGACAGGATAAATCAATCATTGTGAACCTTCAGTCTGATTTTTGTCAGTGAATTGCTCAGGGCACTGCAGTTGTAGTGACTGTTCTGAAAACTCTTCCCCACTGGTACTTTTAAGAATGCTAAAACAGCTGAGATTTAAAGGCTGGCTGCCAAAATTAAATTCATTCATTCAACAAGCTATTTTGTCAGTAAAGGAAATCCACAAGACAAACAAATGTTTGGGGGACAGGAAAAGGGTAATGTGAATATGGCGAGTCTTGCATTAAAAACGTTGCTTTTCAGCAGCACACTTCTAAACAAAACAAAACAATGAAAATGAATTTTCTACAGCTAACAAACAATAAATACCTGATAGAAAGGGGTTCTTTGTCTTGGGTGGAGGATTTGCTGGGATCAAAGTGTCCAGGTTTACCAAGGAAGCCGCTGTGGGGTCCAGGAAGGCCTCAGGTGTCCGGCATGTTCGAGGGCTGGGGGCAGTCAGGCTTTCTCCAAGACGATACAGGTCAAATAGCTCAGGGCTGCCCCCCCCTCGCCCATTTACATTCATCTGACCTCCATCCATGGCCTCATCAAACAGATCTCCATCTAACAGCAGAAAAAGAGTGAGTTCTGACATTGCAGGTGTGAAGTATGCACTAAACCACAGAGAGAATAATAAAAACAAATGTTTACCTGAGGGGCTTCCAGTTCGGGAAGACGGTTTCTTGACAGCTCTCTTGAGTGCTGCTCTTTCTGATGGGGCTGAAAAAGGATCAGCTCCTGGGGAGGCTATAAACACACCAAAATGCAATTTAATTCAATTAATGTGATACATTTATCTTTGTCAAAGCTGTATGTGTGTGTATGTACACGCATACAGACTCACCTGTGTCAGCAGGGAAGGCCCACACGCGGCCTGTGGCGTTGAGGTTGGAGACACTGTGCTGCCCCGAGTCATCCCAGTGTTCGAGTGGGGGCTCCCACGGTGGGGGAGGGCTGATGGAAGGTGGCGGTGCCATCCAGGGAGGATCCGCTCTCGAGGTGTTGGTGCTGCCTTCTTTAGAAACAGAGAGGTTCATTAGAGAGAGAGGCTTCTGTTCTATGACTATGGGTTTATCGCAGCATGTGAGCAGAATAATTAGTACTGTAAACCCGTGGTTTATTATAAAAACTACACAGTACGGTATATCCAGCATTTTATGACTATAAATGCCAACTCAAGGCTCACCCAGGGTGTCCCAGTGCTCTGCGACCCCCGGACGAGCAGCTGCCTGGTGTGGGGCATTATTCCATTGTTGGTTGCCCGGAGGCGGATCTGAGGGCACTGCAAAAACATCTACCAGGTCCATGAAGGCGGTCTGACCACATGAACAAGAAAAGATTTATGTCAGTCCAGTATATTGCTTTGACACTTACTGATCTTTCTCTAGTTTTAAATTTCCAGTTTTATAGTTGATTGATGTTCTCACAGGATGAGAAAAAACAATGTTAACCACAACGTGTGGTTATATTTCACCCCCCCATTGAGATATTCCATACCCCAATATTTCATACCCCGCCTTTAGAATCCATCTCAAGTTTGCTCTCCTCCAGAGCTTTCTGGAGCATTGACTCGTCCCCTTGGCGACTGAGTTGTTCCTGTCAACAGATATAGACACATGGACGACTTTGGGCATTACAGCTTCCGGCAAAATTCACATATTGTCGCATCATACTATATTTATGACTCAGCAACTGCACACAAGCACAAAAGACAGATTGTATTTTTTTTTCCCTCGCCAACATATGAGCCGGAGACAGACGTGTGCAATGGGCACGGACCAGAAAGTTCTCTGGTCAAAGTGAGAGTGCAGAGAGCAAAGCATCACTGTGATCTCTAACAGAGCAGCTCTATTGTGCTACAGTATAGTGGCACAGTGAGAGAGAAAAAGACAAAGGGACAGAGTGAGACAGGAAGAGAGTGGTGGAGTAAAAAGGCTGCCAGAGATAATACAACAGAATGATAGGAATACAACATAAAAGGCAACGCAAAGGAAGCAGAGGGTGTGGAAATGAGTTTACCCTTTTTATAGTAGCTGATTATAAATTATTAAATACATAGAGGACGATTCCCTACTACAATAAAATATCAAAGAGGTTAAAGTAGGAGGGAAGTACAATATTTAAATCCCAAGTATAACCCTTATGTGGCCTTGTTGTGTGTCTACCCGCATGAACCAGAGGAACCCTACCTGCTGGTGCTCCTCCTTGCTCAGGCTCAGGGCTAACTGGAGCTGGGTTTCCTCATCCATATCCACTGCGGGAGGTGCACGTTGGACTGGCTGTGAGGGTGTTAACGAGAGAGGGAATCAGTATTTGGCCATCAAAAGTGGAAATAATGTTTGGACCATCCTCACAGTACAGTATTGCATGCAATTTTACAGGTGTCCCAAGAAGAGTAAAGGGGTCAAACCCTTTGGCAACACCACACTAGAAGAGGTCAGAGTGTTTGACATAAGTATCTCATGCTAACAGACTAAGAGGAGCGATCTAATGGTTAATGGAACAGAAGGATGAAGCCTCACTTGGTTAGTCATAAGAAGGGCCCACACTAGGCCGTAAGATTGGTTTCAGTGTACAGAGCAGTGTGCTATGGGGCAAAGGGTGCAAAGGAAAGTTCAACCCTGGTCCCAGCACATTTGTACCTTATGGGCCTCCTCCTTGCTGAGAGTCATAGCGATCTGGAGCTGGGTCTGTTCATCGATATCCACTGTAGGAGGTGGCTAAGGCCAAGCAGGAAGGATTAGACTAATCAAAGGGAAAGGTAAAAGCACGCTTGATTTTTCTCAAGTGATTCTTAAAGAAATATAATGATTTAAGACCATTTAGGAGAGAGGAATATCACAGAGATTATGGATCTCAGTTTGATCCTTAAAATTGCAGCTGATTGGTTGGAAGTGGAAACTGCTGTGAACTTATATTCCCTTAATAGCCGAGCAGAAGTCACAGAGGGTGACGGCTGCCCTGCCATGGAGACTAGGGCGGGCTGTGAATGCTTAGCAGTCGATCAATGCACACATCCTGTCTGGCTTCTCACTCTTTCACTCACAGCTTCCTCGCTCTTCAAGGAGAAAGCTCTTCTTTGACACAATTGCACCATTATTGACCACATCAGAGACAGAGTTGATAATATCACTTTCGGTTAAAGGTTCTACGAAATGGTGACCTAGTAGAGCCAGGCAGTACGAGTGACTTCACCACCATGACGGATACTATCCAAGGATGTGTGTGGGAGCCGTTTAATGTTTTACTACAGTGTTACAACATAACATGCCAGCAGCAGGGTGGATAAGAAGCCTCTTTCTGTCAGGCGCATGTGCTATAAGGATAAGAGGTTTTGCTCAGTGTGTGTTTGTCAGAGGTACCTTTTCACTTTCTTCTCGGCTCATAGCCAGGGCCAGCTGCAGCTGCAGCTCCTCTTCTCCGCTTGTTGTGGGCCGAGCTTGCTCCAAGTCTGGAGCAACTCGAGGAGAGGAAGACGGGGCTATAGGGAAAGAGTAAGAGCAGAGGAGATTGGGTGTGTAGCGGGGAACAGGGAGCAGAGGGGTGTAGGCAGAAACATTAACAGATGGAAATAGAAGGAGAAGAAAATAGAAAACAAAGAAAGCAACACTTTAGGCTGTTTTTTAAGGTCAGAAAAGAGCTGGCACTGTTTTTGCATGTAAATTTTTTTCCGTGGCCCGTTGTTTAAGGCCTTTGCTGGCATTGCTTGCCACCGACTGCCTAACTGTGCCTTTGCTGAGAACAATGGTGCGCCTGTGTGGAGAGTTAGGGTGGCGGAGGGGGAGAGGAATGGATGGGTTGGAGAGGGGCCCACCTTATTACCACAAATCGTCTGGGTGGGTTCCAGGACTCAGGTCCAGGTTTGGGGGTGCTGGCAGTAGACCGGTCTGGGTGTCAGGCTGTGG